TTGCGAAGTTTGCAATTTTCAGTCATTTTGTATTACAAACGGGAAATACATACCCTTTTCCCGAAGGAGGTATGTATTTCCCGCGCGTAATACAAAATGACTGAAAATGGCAAACTTCGCAAGGCTATATTATCCGCATTTTACAACATTTCGCAACGAAACTTCGGAATATTACTAATTTTGTGATGCTCTTTCAAGCTGTGATAAAATTTTTCTCTAGACTTGTTGAAATCTAAATTTTAGTCAAAAGGTGAAAGGTCCATTAGTGCTTTTTCAAACGTTGCTAAAGGGATGGCCGAGAGGGAGATGTTCGAGATGGCGGCTATTTTCAAGATCGTTAAAACACAAAACAATCAACAGAAACAAGTACTTATAACATCCAGGGTTCGTACACCTTCATAATTTAAAAAATCCAGGGTTTTGCAGGACTTTTTTCATCCTTTTTCCAGGGTTTTCCAGGGGCATTTGAAATATAAATCTATAAGTGTTTAACGGATAAGTGTTAAACGTTCGCGACGGCTAGTACTTCATCTTGCACAGATACTTTTGGGTTGGTACCAGTTTGAACGAAATATATTCATAGTTATATTATGCAAGAACCTTTTGTTCAATCTTTCTTTTTAAGATAGTCTTAAATAGTTTAGGTATGATCCTATACCCAGCTCAGTTTTCCAGGGTTTTCCAGTGATCAATTTGAAATTCCAGGGTTTTCAAGGGTTTCTCAGGACTAAAATAAAAATCCAGGGTTTTCCAGGATTTCCAGGGGGCGTACGAACCCTGAACATCTTAAACCTTACCCTAAATCCTAACCTAAACCTCAATCCTAACCCTAACACAAACCTTAAAGTGACATGACACGAATTTTGTTATTGTCCCATCTGAAAGAATAATCAATACTGTAATGTACCTTCTTTTACAGATTTTCGTTTACATTCTTCCTTGGTGAGATAATTCAGTTTTGTTCATATGCATTGCAAACAAATTTGCGACACAGTTTACATGAGCTACCAAATATTTGATAAGTTATGTGTTTTTATCCAACATTTGTAAAACTGCATGCGCATGCTTTACATTATCCTCAACATAACGCATGTGAACTTTCAAACGATTTAATCACTTATTGTTGTGATAACCTGACATTTAACATTATGCAAAGTGTGACATAAATTGTTTGCACTGCATATAAAAAACCCCCGAATTATCCCACCAAGGAAGCACATAAACAAAAATGTGCAAAAGAAGTTGCTTTACAGTTTTGACAATTCTTTCAGATGGGTCAATAAAAAATTTCGTGTCATGTAACCTTTAAACTAATTAAGTGAACTCTGAGTTTAAATTTTGAACTTCGTTACCTTTTTTCAAATGAAGAAAGTATTTAACTTCGAATTAGCGATTCCGACATAGCGAAGCTATTTCATGTTAGAGCCACATAAATTATTAATTGGTAGGATGAAAATGATCAAGTACAGATTATTAATATCATCACCATTGGGAATTACTGAAATTCCAACACTGCGGTGGCAAATAAGTTTCCATATTATGATTTCAAATTTAGCAGCTCAGCCCCCCAAACTGACATGCAATTTTACCAAGCTGGCTTCGGATCCCCACTCCCCCCTCCTGCCCTTAATAAAAACTAACTTCTCGCTTACGAGCATTGTCTGTGCATCATTCAGGTCAAATTCTGGCTTGGACGGTGCCACAAAGCATGATGGGATAATATGATTGTATAAAAATTCTTGAAATGCTGCCGGTCCGTCTGTGTTGCCTTCACAAATTGAAATAATAATAATAAATCATAAATCATATCTCTGTGTGTTTGCCTGTACGTTTTTGACTAAATAAGGGTTCCACACCGGTGCATACTCATTATTGATATCACCAGTACTTTTTTGTTGTTGTATTCTATATTTAGATACCATTTACAAAAGCTTTACATTGACAATATGTTAATTACAGGGTTTTCACACTTTAGTGAAGATGAAATTCAAGGACATTTCTAGGACTTTCAAGGACGTTTACCTGTAAATTCAAGGACCTAAAACTGGACAAATCTTTGAAAATAGCACAATTGAAACAACAAATCACAGTTTCCCATGTTATTAGATTTTGCTCTGCATTCTACCATAGTTAATATTATATAATATACAAATAATGAATGTTTATGAGTGCAATGGTAAGAATATTTTCATGAGGTGAAAGATGGAATGTTCCATTCAACGAGGCGACAGCCGAGTTGAATGGAACATTCCATCTTTCACCGAATGAAAATATTCTTACCATTGCACGAAGAAACATTCATTATTTGTTTTATATAATACCAAAAATCCAGAACAGACTAATAGATTCGTATGAGAAGCATTTTGAGGGATGCGATTTATCGAAAACACAAAGAGTGCAATTGTACTATACGTTTTATTCCATTGCACTCGCGGAGAGTGCAATGGAACGCGTTCCATTGCACTCTTGGGAAATGGAATTTTCTATTCAATATCACGTGACCATAAACAGCCAATTAAACGATTAGAATTTAATAAGGTATTATATAACACCTTATTGAATTCTGATCGTTTAATTGGCTGTTTATGGTCACGTGATATTGAATAGAAAATTCCATTTCCCAAGAGTGCAATGGAATACGTGCCATTGCACTCTTGCGAGTGCAATTATATGTTTTATTCCATTGCACTCTTTGTGTTTTCGATAAATCGCATCTGTCAAAATGCTTCTCGTACGGTGCTCGCAGTTTATTTTAACCCGATATTCGAAACTCAGTAAATGTGATTTAATGCAAATACGACTCGTCAAAGCTTACAGTAAACTTACAGTCAAAGCTTACAGTAAACCTTTTAATATTAGTCTATTTTGGTATTATATAAATTTGGTGAAAGATGAAATGTTCCATTCAACTCGGCTGTCGCCTCGTTGAATGGAACATTCCATCTTTCACCTCATGAAAATATTCTTACCATTGCACGAATAAACATTCATTATTTGTATATTATGTCCTCTATTAACTACGATTCTACCTACCCCAAAGTTCGACTAACTTCTTTAAAATTCCAAAACAGGCCTTTTGACACTACAAAACATAATAAAGATGAAACTATCACATTTTTACAAACGGCCTAAGCGCACGCTATTGTAGAACCAAATTAATGAATTCATGCGATACAAGATCAACCAGGTCCATAACATTCATAGAAAGGTATTTCACTTACACTGGAGTCTGATGGTTCCACTGCACCGTGGATGATTGTCAGCAATACTTCTTGCGTATTCTGTGGCTCTATTATTTTAGGAAATAAAGTATGAAATTCAATAAGTTAAGAGGAGATTATTTGACATGTTATACGTAGCACACGCTCAAAACTAATTAGGATAATACACCACTTGGTTAAGACTATATTGAAATTTGTTTCGGAAAAAAAACTTACAAATTATGTTTAGTTTTTATCTGTGAAATAATGCTAAACTTATATTCCTGTAAGTATGGCGTCAATTTTAAAGCAACATTGATAACTGTATTTTAATTGACAATTTTTTTCCTTTTACATGCAGTATTTAATGTTTCTCAATCGATACAATTTGAAAAGGTAGCTAACTGTATAAACAAGAAAATAAAGCTAAAACAATGTAATTTTGAGAGGTGCGCCAGGTTTTAGAAAGACATTGTCTCAGCTATAGACCGATTCGAAAAATGGTTGTCAATTTTTTTCTCCATCTTTTATTGTCTTTGAGAAATTAAATCTTAAAAGTACCGGAGTTTCTATTAGATTTAGTATAAGGAAGCCTGACTAGCCTCGTTTTGGTACTTTTTGCACATTTCAACGGACTATAGAATGACGTTGATGGCTGGATGCATGGCCACAGAGGAGAGACTATACAGAGGTGGAACTCAGCCAAAAAGTGTAACCGGCCGTCCCAAATACTTGTAAAACGTACGATGTTGTAAACTAACCTCACTTACTCACCTTGGCTAAGTATAACTTCAACGACATTGTTATTCACAAGACTGGCAATGAATTGAAAGTAACTGTTCTTTAGCAACATTTTTTCTCTTGTCGCCTAGAGTACATAAAATACAATTGAATGCGCGATGTTTGCCGTCTTACAGCAGTGTGAACATGCAAGTTTAAAAAAATAGTGAGTTTGGCAAAATGTCAATGAAGACGTGCATGGGTGGAACAAATATTTGACTTTTTGGGACCGCAAGACAGCATTGAAATATTTTCTGTGATAATCAAGTAAATCGACATTTGGACACTGTTACCGTGTATTAACACTAACAAATTGTCAAACTGAATGTCATGCTATATTCTAATAGAAAAAGATAATTTCATTGCACCGAGAATCTTAATAATACTTTTAGGAATATAAAATAAAACTAGTATAGATTGCATCAGGAGTCAGATCCTCAGGTAAATTTGCAGATGGAAAAAAGGGTACTACTTGGGGGGGGGGGGG